CAGAGATGCAAAACAGTGCTGTGATCTTTGTTTGGAACTATTTTCGTTGGCAAAATTGAGCAAAAACGAGCGATATTATGTCTAAAATGTAAGTCACATTGCTTTACTGAAATTGTATAAAATGATTATTAAATGTGTTATCATGCTGATATCTGCAGAAAAACAGTACTCTTTGCGTGATATAGATTGTTAACTATATTAAATTATATGAATATAAAAAGCATACAAAAGCAATTTTGCTGTCTACAATTTAGAATGCCTGGAGTTTTGAGTTTTAATAGACTAATAAATCAACGTGCTTGGACTCTGTGTGATTTGGTGATAGGTAGGCCGATTCATTCAATACGTAAACACCGTCCATTGCTCAGAGACGCAAAACAGTGCTGTGATCTTTGGAATTATTTTCGTTGGCAAAAGTGAGCAAAAACAAGAAATATTATTTCTAAAATGAAAGTCACTTATTGCTTTACTGAACTTGTATAAAATGATTATTAAATGTGTTCATGCTGATATCTGCAGAAAAACAGTACTCTTTGCGTGATATAGATTGTTAACTATATTAAATTATATGAATATAAAAAGCATACAAAAGCAATTTTGCTGTCTACAATTTAGAATGCCTGGAGTTTTGAGTTTTAATAGACTAATAAATCAACGTGCTTGGACTCTGTGTGATTTGGTGATAGGTAGGCCTATAGCCTACTTGACAATGTCAGATCGCACATCATTACAACAACACTTACCATATTATCGCAGAAGATGCTGTATATCGCACGCCCCAGACTCGACTTGAGTGGAAAATGAATCATCCGCGGTTGTGCGCGCACTTGTTTGCACATGAGCAAAGGTGTTTTTAGGATTCTAACTTGCAGACGCCAGACCACTGATTCGTCAAACCTGCTTTCCTGCAGTCCGTGTTCTTCTGACTTCTGACTATTTTGTAGTAAGGAACGAATATGCTTCGGGGAAATGTATCAGAGTAAAAGTATACATTTTAATTGGGAAATGTAGTGGAGTAAAAGTAAAAGTTGGCTGAAATATAAAAACTCAAGTAAAGTACAGATACTCCCAAAAAATACTTAAGTACTGTAACAAAGTATTATTACTTCATTACATTACACCACTGCTTATATATAATTATAACATAAATACAAATTTCTATAGTTACATTAATTATTTACATTATGTATATAAATTCATTAATGAGGTAATTAATTTAAATGAATGAATTTATATGTTATTAATAATTATATAATAATTAAATGTTTTTCTTTCTAGGGAAATAAATCTATTAAGCAGCTTCTTCAGGGCACTAAAACTTTTATAATCTTTTTTTTTTCATTATCTCTTATTTTTCATTATCTCTTGAGATGTAAACGTATGACCTTAATTGTATTTTCTTTCAGTGTTTTAAATTGACAAATCAATCTACATGAAAGAAAACGGTCATAGATTGTTTATTCATCTGCCATTCATCTATTGTTTAAATTAATTTAACCATCCATCCATACAATAGTTCAGAGATGCTAACCTGACCTCCCCTTAAACTACAGTAGGAGCTCTCTCAATGAACACTATAATAATGTGAGTCATATTGTTGACTGGAAAGTGGAAACCTGAGTCTTTATGTCCTCACACTATATGGCACAGTGAGCAGGAAAAACAAACTGGCTTTGCTCAATGGAAATTTCCAAGTAATTAAAGGTGTGTGCCAGAGGCCACACTGTGAATTGGGATTATGTTTATATGATGAATGAATTCATGGTAAAGTGGTTGACCACTGAAGTGTAGCCTTTGTAAAATGAACATATTTAAGTGTGTTCTAATCTATCGTGAACAGGTGATCGCAGCGGAGGGAGAAATGAAAGCCTCGTGTGCTCTGAAGGAGGCGGCAAATGTGATGTCAGAGTCTCCGTCTGCTCTTCAGCTGTGCTATATGCAGACGCTGACTGAGATTGCTTCAGAAAGGAACTCAACTATTGTCTTTCCTCTTCCTATTGACCTCATTTCTAATTTCATGAAAAGGTGACCTTATATAGGAATGATCTATTAATGTTCAACTATCACTGTACAGACATTGCAGCCTTCTCTTTTAAAATCCTCTATGTTTTAACTACAGGCAAAACATATTCTGTTCATATTAGATATTTTGCATCATGTGTCTTACATATTTAAAAATGAAATTGTTCAAAATATTCTTTTGTATTACATGATTAAATCTATCAAATAACGTGGCTAAGGTATATTCTACTCTGATCTGATCGGATTATTTTATATGCATTTAACTAATCTTTCACGTATAAGAATAAAACTGATTTAAATCTCATTGTGTATGCCTATAGCCTTTTAACAACAAGTACATGACAGAATGACTGTTTAACACTGTCATGAGAAAAGACTAACGGTTAATCTGTTGGCCTGATGCAGAAAAAATGGGTACAATGAGCCCTGATCAGTGAGTCCCATAATAGGATTGACTACATCAGATGCAGGAATGGGTGGACAGTTTAGAAGAGTTACTGTAATCTGCCATCTAATCTGTTTCAACCTCACATAGACGAAAACAGCTTCTGTTCTGACCCTGAACCCCAAAGACACACTGTCATAATGCTCTCATTTCTGCTGTCTCCAATATATATGCAGATGTATTTACATACTGAGAAAAAATTTAAAAGAAACGTACCTCTGTACTGCTGTAATTTCTGTTGTTGTTGCTACACTCACATAAACAGGACCTGCAGGGAATGCAAAGATGCTGTAAAGTTTGTTGGTGAGACCACAAGATATAGGATATTGCTAATTTCACACATAACATCATTTTAGAGGAAACAATATTTTAAGGCACTCAGCAGGGAAGCAAAGTAATTGTACCCTGGGTCATTTCCTCTCTCTGGAGACTAACTATGTTCTTAGCCTACAGTGATGCTCTACTATATGGGTGCAATATGAAAATTACATGTGTGTATTTGCTGACAGGATATGTACTGAATATCTGTGCTGATGTGGCTCTTTTGGGTTTGGAAGGAGAACCACTTCACTGTGACCTTGTGCCCTTTAATACGGAACAAAACAACTGAATACACCTGACATTGGAAGAAGCAGAAACTGGAAGTGTACAAAACACATTCAAGGAATTGATCACCCAAAAATGAAAGTTTTGTCATTTGTCCACATTTATTTGCCCTGATGTCATTTCAAACCTGTATGACTTCCTTCTGCAGAACACAAAAGAAAATATTTTGAAGAATGTTAAGGTCCAAACATTGGACCCCACTGACTTTCAATAAATGGACAAAAAAAAAAACTCTTCAGACATTCTTCAAAATATCTGGTATATTCTAACAAGGAAAGAAAGTTTTACAGGTTTGGAACAAAATGGGGGTGAGCAAATGATGACAGAATTGACATTTTTGGACAAACTAGCCCTAAAGTCGTTTAGTCATTACCAAATGCTTCTTTTCATGATTTTCTGTACTCTTCTGGAAGTCCTAAGCTGGCCTGCTGACTTATCACACTGTCCACTAACCACACAGTGAGCATGTGTGATCTCGTTCAATCTCCTTCACTTCACCCACAACCCATCCTCCATGGGCTCTTTCCTTTACTAAAGACACTCCAATGTTGTTTCTTAGTTTTCTTGCTATTCCTTGTGCCTACCCCTGTCAGACCTTGTGGTAAGGATGTCACTGTGGCATTTCCTGATTTTGCTGAGCATCTTTATGCTTTGTAAAGGTAAGAGACAGGACTCTATCCAGTAGATTACACTGATTTAATTTGGCTAACAGTTTGATTCGCTGACACTTATCATCTGGGGTTTTGGAAAATTGTTCTTTTTTGAGAAGGATTCAGCCATTTCTTTTTGCAAAAAAAAAAAATTAGCCTTGACTATATGGACATATTTAACCTGGGAAGTTTTTCATTTCTGATTCAACATTCTGTACTTATTCTGTTCAGCTGTGTTACAGTATGAGCTGCAACAACATTAACCTTTATGTTGTGTTTGGGGTCTGAAAGACCCAATGGCCTATTGAATAGCTCCAAAATTTCAACTATTTTAATACACTTCAAGTGTCTCCCATGAAAAATGTTACATTGTTACTAGAATGGATACCTCTCACGTTTCCAAAAAGTGCATGTTCATATTGTTGTGAAGTAGAAGCATAACTGGGTTTTGATTAGGTCAGAATAATCTGAGGAAAATAAGAGGTTAACTTTGATTATTTCTTTCTGGTATCTAGGACAGTAAATGATCCGAGGACTTGAAGATTAATTTGTAGCCTGTTTTTACCAATGTTATTTCAGTGACGTATGTAATGAGTAATGCTTGCAGATGGCAGACGTAACAGATCAGCGTAAAAGAGGGTTAAATACAGCAGCTCATGTGACTGACACCTGTAATCATCTCAGATCTTTCTACTGGGGGAAGAGGAGGGGGCAGGGGAACATGCGGAAGGAGAGATGGGATGATCTGCTTTTTTATAGAAGCATGATCCAATTGTGACTTGCATGCGGGCTAATTATGGGGCACAAATGACCTCTAGGGTCAGAAATCTACATGGAAAACCTGAAAGGTTACATGGCTTAAATATGAGGTGGACACATCGTATGATGTAGGATCTGCAGGATGATCAGAAGGATACTGTGCAGGTTGATGCCAAAGAGAAATGGAAGCATGAAATGTGTCTAGTGGAGATGACGCACAGCAAGATGAATGGGAACTGGGTCGCTAAAATCCAGCCATATAGACTACTTGTGGATCAGTCTGTGTCAATTTTGAGAGAAAAAAGGATAGGGCAAGAATAGAGATGACGTTAACCTTTGTGAGGTTTTCCAAAATGTATAGAACAAAATGAATTGTTATCACCAGTTTCCAGAAAAGCTGAACTGGGAATATTTTTTAAATGATCAACTAGGCATTACATTGAAACTACAGGGAGCAAAACACAGAACACGTGTATGAATTTCATTGCATGCTAGATGCTACTAGAACTATTCTCACACTTTTCTGAGACCATTTTTTGACCTTTACTTCTTCACATTTTTAAAAACCTTCTTGATGTCTGATTAAAAATAGCATGTTATGTTGAAATTGTTCTAATCAAAAGATCCAACTAGCACCATGCTAAACTAGCAGGCTAAGCTGTTAGCTTGCTAACCGAAGGCTAAATGAGGAACACAAAGATATGAAAATGTTTAATTTGAAGATTTTGGTTCTGGTAATATGTTGTGATATGTAGACATCACTTAACATTTTCATGATTAAAATAAAAAATAAAAAATAATTTCTAATCAGGCACTGAATAGCCTACCCATTAAAAGCCAAATGAACTCACAACGAGAAAGTGTCCAAGCACTTTTATTTGTGTCTTTATTTTGAACAAAATGAATGTATTGTTGTATAACACGAAACATCAGCTTCTTTTTGTGTAAAATTTTCCTTAAAATGTGTTTTTACAAAAAAAATGCAATAATGCCACAGTGTTATTTTAGTATTTTTTAATATTTACTAATATTTTGAATTATCTTTAATTTTTATATTTTAAATTTAAATTTTAATTAATATGCGTGTTTGTAAATGTATTAGTTTCTTTAAATATTCTTATATAGCTTTAATTAATTTTAATTTCACTTTGTCATTTTAGTACTTAAACTTATTTCAGTTAGTTGCCACAGCAACATTTCTAATTTTCATTTAAGTTAAGTGTAACAAAAAAGTATAACAAGCCATTACAATTATTTGATTCAGTAGTTTACAACTTCATCTCTTTCACATAAACACAGAGAGCAAAATACAGACCAGTAAGCCTGCGTCTTCTGTTGTTAGGTGAAGACAGTGAGTGCGACAACTTCACCGATCTGGATTTCCATGAGTCTTTCATGGGGACCTATCTGTACGTGCGCCTGCTGCTCTACACCAGTGCAAACCTTGAATGCGGTCAGGAGCTCCCCCACCACAACTTCACTCCAGAACCCCTATTTAATGTAACAAGACCCACTACCTTTGTCATACACGGGTACCGGCCCACGGGGGCACCGCCTATCTGGATCAACCACATTGTACACTTGTTAGCAGCACAGAAGGACATGAACATCCTGGTAGTGGATTGGAACAGAGGGGCAGCCAATCTCAATTACTTCACAGCTGTGGCCAACACACGGGGTATGGCTGTGAACATCACCGGCTTCATAGAGAGTATGGAGGTAGGGTCAGTGGTCTTTCATTAGCGTTTCAGCTCTGAAATAGCTTTGGTCAGTAATGTCTGCCAATTTAACCGATATTGTGTTACTTTCAGAAAGAGGGAGCATCTCTTGACTCCATCCATCTGATTGGAGTCAGCCTGGGCGCACATGTGGCCGGGTTCATTGGTGCAATGCTGGGAGGACGGGTGGGCAGAATCACAGGTGAGATGATGAGATGATGATCACAGGTTAGTTAATCTTATCCAATAAATATTGTTTACTAGAAGTTTCACCTGGTTTACTCTACTGTAGGTCTGGACCCAGCAGGGCCAATGTTTGCTAGTGCTCCCCCTGAGGAACGCCTTGATCCAACTGATGCCCAGTTTGTAGATGTGCTGCACACAGATATGAATTGTAAGTATCATAAATTTGAAGACACACTACTGAAATCACAGAATAAGTGTGGAAGGTCATCCAAATATTCCATGCATACAGTATGTTCTACAAAAATAATACTAAAATAGTAGTGTGCCAAACATAGCCTAACAATACCACGTTCAAACACTGTTTCCTGTGGCAGCCTTTGGCCTTAGAGGAACCCATGGCCATATTGATTTCTATGCCAATGGAGGATTAGATCAGCCTGGATGTCCCAAGACCATCTTCTCAGGTCAGTAAGTTAAGATAAAACATTTGGGAAAGGTCAGGGTTGAGATACAGAATGCTCTCCAAATAAACCCAAAATGCAAATAGCTGGCTGTGTAATTAAGATTCTGTCATAATTAAATTATGCAATTCTCACAGTGGGATTGAGTTGATTACAAGGTTGTGTTAACAGGGCTAAAATGT